TATTTTCATTGTTACAAATTGAACATAATTAAACATAATTTAAGCTTAGTGATTAATCACAAAACAATATGTAATTATATATTGTGAAATATTTATGTGTTTTCCGATGATCGTAGGCGACCCCTGTGAAATGGTCGTTCAACTGCCAAAGGGGTCTCGACCCACAAGTTAAGAACCACTGCTTTAGTGCAAGTAGTGCCTGGTTTATTGGTCTCAAGAACCACTAAGCTTTCTGCAAAGTAATGCTCTCTGCTGAAACTGAGGATGCATATAGTTTCCAAAGGTATTTCTGATTGTTAAAACAATGGATTAATGAAAAAAATCTATATCCTGGGTCCTATTTTTAATTTTAATTAAAATGGCTTATGAGAAAAATGCTTTGTAAGACTATATATCACAGAAGAGCACAAGTCCTCTGATTTAAGGTTATAAACTATTGACTGTGATAACTAGATGCAAATATCCAAAGAGATTTAACCATGCTAGTGTTTTTATTAGGTATTGTCTTTGTTTTGCTGTGGTTATAAACTTCCATGGTCGGAGTGGTCTGTTTCCTAATCCCATTGTTGCATAAGCTCTGCTTATGTGTGCATATATAGAATGTGAGCTTCTTTGCAGTAAAAAGTCTGTGGCATCAAAGTAGAAATGGCTATCTTTGGATGTTAATGAGGGAGAAATCACATAAATAAGATTTTTTAAAGACCAGCTCAGCATTTCACAGAATGGCCAGATTTTTTATTTAACATGTCTAAGCATTTTCGTATGTATCTTTAGCTTATCTTTTATTATTAGTTTGCTTAGCATTTTTTCCTTCATCTCAAATACTATCATTTGACCAGCAATTCGTTGTGGTTATCTATATTTTACTGCCACTGCTATTTGTTAGGTCCCATTCTGGGTACTCTTTCTGTCTCAGTCCAGCATAGCTCCATTTCCTTACTTTATTACAGATGAATAGAGAAAGGAACCAATTCAAGCGCTTTGGAGTCTCCCTACCTAAAAGGCCTGTGGGAACAACTGTAATGCACTTCTGCTGGGAGTCTGCATGGACTCCGGGACAGTGAATTTGGTTTGGCTGTCTCTGTATCTTAAACTGAGAGAGCTAAAGAAAACAAATTCAAGTCTTGAGTTTTAGTATTCAAAGATTCTATGGGGAAAATACTGACTGATACAGGAAGCATCAAAAAAAGGAATGAGTCACTGTAACAAAAAGAACTAGTTGGCATTCACCATTTCAGGAAGTACCATAAAGCAAGAGCCAATGGTACTGAAGAAAGAAGTTCAAGCTGTACTGAAAGCATTAGTCAAAAACAAGGCTGCAGGAATTGATGAAACACCAATTGAAATGTTTCAACGAGTTGATGGAGCACTGGAAGCACTCACTTGTCTATGGCAAGGAATTTGGAAGACCAACTTGACCAAATGTCTGGAAGAGATCATATTCCTAGTCATTCCAAAGAAAGGTGACCCTAGAAAGCTAAAATTATAGGATCTTCTCATTGATAGCACATGAGGTAAAATTTTACTGAGGATCATCTAACAATCGTTGTAGCACATTGACAGGAAACTTCCCGAGGTTGAGGCTGGATTCAGAAGGGGACATAGAAGAAGGGATGTCATTGCTGATGTCAGATGGATCTAGGCTGAAAGCAGAGAACACCAGAAAGATGTTTACTTGTATTTTAGTGACTATGCAAAAATAATCGACTGTGTGGACCATAACAAGCTTTTAATAGCCTTGCTAAGAATGAGCATTCAGAACACCTTATTGGGCTCATGTGGAAAGTGTGCTTGGATCAAGAACCAGTTGTGCAGACAGAACAAGAGAATACTACATGGTTTAAAATCAGGGAAGGTGTGTGTCAGGGCTGTAGGCTTCACCACAATCTGCATGTTGAGCATATCAGAGAAGCTGGCTTGTGTGAACAAGAATGTGGCAGCGGGGTCATTGGAGGAAGGCTTAATGACAAACTGAGGTATTGAGAACCTTTCTTGCTGAAAGTGAGGAGATAAGGAAAGTCAGGATTGTATCTCTCCACTACACTTATTAAATCTGTCTGCTGAGCAGATCACCAGAGAAGCTGGATTATATGAAGATCGATTTGATAGCAAGATTGGAGGAAGACTTAGTAACCTGTGATATGTAGAGAACACTACCTTGCTTGCTTGAAAGTGCGGAGGACTTGGTGATGAAGATCAAGGATTACAGCCTTTAGTGTGGAAGGAGCCTTGATGACATAATGGTTATATATTGGGCTGTTAACCACAAAGTTGACATTTCAAAACCACCAGCTGCTCTTTGGGAGAAAGACGGGCTTTCTATTCCCATAACAACAGTCTCGGAAACCCACGGGAACAACTCTACCCTATGCGACCGGGTCACTTTGAGTCGGCATTGACTTGATGGCAGTGAATTTGGTGGTCATTTGTTTTGTTTTGGGGGGTTTGGGTCAGCTTACATTCTTAGAGAAGGGAACAGTAAATAAACATGCAATATTTGATGGTATGAAGTGCTATGAAAGAAAGTAGACTGGAGAGGGAAAACTTCACAGAAAAGTTAGGGAGCAAGCCAAAGTGCTATGTAGGGAAAGAACGTTGGGGCAAAAGGAACAACAAAGACAGGCAGCTAACATAGGAACTTGCTTGGTGTTTGACAAACAACATAGATCAGGGTAGATGGAGAGGTGTCAATGAGGCAGTAAATAAAGTTTTTTTTTTTTAATTGGGAAGTAAGTAAAGTATTTTTAAAAATATAGCAGTGGGTGGTTTGATCTGCTATGTGTAAGATTAGAAATCACTGAAAGAATTTTAGCAGGGTAGTGATATTTGACTTGTTTTAATTAATAAGGAAAATCAAATCCATTGCCATCAAATCAATTCTGACTCATCATGACCCTATAGGACAGAGTTGAGTGGCTCCCTTGGGTTTCTTTTTAAAGGGCTATAAACCTTTACAGAAGCAGAATGCCTTGTCTATTGAAGAATAAACATATATTTTGGAAAAAGTACAGCTGGAATGCTTTTTTAAAATCTTTTTATTGGGGGCTCTTACAGCTCTTATAACATTCCATACATCAATTGTATCAAGCATATTTGTACATATGTTGCCATCATCATTTCCAAAACGTTTCTGCTTGAGCCCTTGGTATCAGCTCCTCTTTTTCCCCTGGAGTGCTGCTGGCTCTGACTTCGCACATGCTGTCAGAGGAGCTCGGGCCTTGGAGACAGTCAGGCGTGGTAAAGTCGAGGATCAGCAAATGTGAGGAAGACCCTCAGTGAGCTGGATTGACATGGTGGCATGAACTGGGAGCTCAAACATAATTGTGAGGTTGGTGCAGGACTAGCCAGTGTTTTGTCTGTTGTGCGTATGTTTGCTGTGAGAGTTGAAACCAGCTCCATGGCTCCTAACAAGACGTACTACCTATTTCCATTGCAGGATTTCTTTTATAATCCTGTTAAAAAGACAAACAAACAAAAACAGCCTTCACTGTGACCCATAGTGACCCTATGGGGCAAGGGAGAACTACCCCTGTGAGTTTCTGAGACTGTAACTCTTTTTCGTTTGTTTTTGTTTAATAGTTGTGTTGGCACATAAAGCACATAATATCATTTGATAGTTCAATCATATCAAGAATAGGTATAGAGTCATACCAGTCAATTGTAGAACATTTTCTTCTTTATTGTATTCATTATTATTAACTCTCCATTTCCCCCAACCTCCCCTACCATACTCAAGAAAACATTAATCCAGTTACTGTTTCCAGATTTACCTATCCTGGATTTCATATACAGAAACACATACAAAGTGAACAACAGAAAAACGAGCAATAACAAAGTAAAATAGATAAAGGACTCCATTGAAAAGAAAGCTGAAAATATTAAAAACTAGGAACAAATTTTAAATGGATCAAGAGGGAGATCAAATGATAATAAGAAGTTAAATTTTAACCTAACCGCATCTATAATAATTCACTTTCTGATGCACCTTGCGTGCTAGGAAAGCTATTCACATCCCTGGTCTATGGCCAGAGGATTCACCAGAGGCTTAATATACAGGTATTTCCCCTTCACTTTAAAAAAAAATTATTTTATTGGGGTCTTGTACAGCTCTTACCACAATCCATACATACGTCCATTGTGTTGAGCACATTTGTACATATGTTGCCGTCATCATTCTCAAAACATTTTCTTTCTACTTGGTATCAGCTCATTTCCTTCCCTCTCCCTCGTGAACCCTTGACAGTTTATAAATTTTTTTCCCATGTCTTATACTGTCCAATATCTCCCTTCGCCCACTTTTCTGTTGTCTGTCGCCCTGGGAGGGGGTTACATGTAGATTATTGTGATCGGATCTCCTTTTTCTCTCCCCGCCTTCCCTTTCCCCTCCTGGTATCGCTACTCATTCTTGGTCCTGAGGGGTTTATCTGCACTGGATTCCCTGTGTTTCCAGCTCTTAGAGACTGTAGCTCTTCATGGGAGTAGAAAGCCCCATCTTCTCCCAAAGGAGTAGCTGGTGGTTTCGTAGTGCTGACCTTGTGGTTAGCAGCCCATTGTATAACCACGACATCATCAGGGCTCCTTAAATGCATGTAAGGTAAAGTAATAACCAAAATTATTTCTTTCCTGTCAAAGTTTTAGATATCTGTCATTTAAAAATTCTTTTGGAATAGGGGAGAACATTACTATTTTTTACATGATCTTTTTTTAATGTGTAGTCTTAATGCATTTTCTCTTCTTAAGCTTTATGAAAATAAATCTTCCTGACTTTATATTTTACCAGCAGTTTTTATCATCTGCTTTTTAGACGAGGACCCAAAGTACAAAACCAAAAAGGAAGAAATAAATGGACAGTCTCTTGGATCTTAAGAATTCTCCTATAATACAGATTGAAGAGATGCATTTTTAAGAATATTAATCTATTTATCATTAAGATTTGGTTAAACAGATTTGTTTGATCCTTGGCTACTTATACTTGATATGCTTTTCTTTCTTTTTTAAAGGGCTGCTTTGTGTTTAAGCCAAATTTTAAGCGGAGAAAGATCTCTGTGCCAATAGGTAAGAAGTCACGATATTACATTTGTTAGCTTTCCTCTCCTAAATCTTCCTAAACATTAAGAACTAATTCTAAATTGAATTTCCTGATTATCTTGTTTAAGATTGGTTTACCATGTTTGAAGTAGCAGTGATGTTCTGAGGCCTAGATTAAAGTGTAGAGCCCAGGATTCTATTCTAATCGACAAATACACATTTAGAAGGCAAGTTGGAAAGTGAATTTTTCTTCAAACAAAGGATGTTACTGTACTTCTTTTAAAAAGACTTTTCTAAAAAGCAGATAAGTAATTACGTGGGGTAAGTTAGGGGAAATAGATTGAAAAGCAAATTAGTTCACTTAACAGTCAACCCAACAAAATTGGGAGAGATCCAAATTTTGAATGCAGTTGAACAATAAGTAAAGCAAGAAACATTGTGGGTCGAAGCTATGGAATGGGAGATTGGGTTATCGCTAATAGCGTGTGGAGAGAGACAAACCATTCACAAAGGCGTGCTTGGCCTCATCTTTGAGCAGAACGCTGTTGGTTCTGATTCTGCTATTGCAGAGATTTGGTTGCACATACCACCCTTATTTTCCAGTGGGGCAATTAAATTCCTAGCAAAGCGTTGAACAATTTAATTCATTGTTCTGATATATCCAGTTTTACAAATTCTGGTCAGTTCCAGTTTTGCTTTATCAGTCATGACTAAACTTTGAAGCCCTGTGGAACTTGAGGGAACATTTTGAAGTAATAAGGTGGTTCTTCATTGAGGTGTTGATTGCATGAATGTGTACTTTGTCAGGACATACTGAGCTGTTAAAATTGGTGTTTAATTATCTATGAATTATACCTCAATAAAATTGTTATTAAAAGAACAGATTTCACTTCTTCAAACAGATCAGTGTTTGCGATCCCAAATGTACATTAGGATCACTTAGGGAACTTTTTTATAACTTAATTTTCAAATAATGATAGATTCTCATGCAATTATAAGAAATAATATAGAGAGCCACCCTGTATCTTTCACCTAATTGTTCCCGCTGGTAAAGTCTGCATGACAATCCATTGACATTCTGATTTCAACTTGAGGAGTTTAAAAAGATACAGTAGTGCCTAGATCCCAACTCAGGCCAACTGAATAATAACATCGAGAACTTGGGCCTATACAATGGTGTTCTTAAAAGCTCCTCATGGACTGACTGATTGGGTCTGTAGTCTGTTCAGCACTATGGAAATTAATATAAAAATTATGATGAAGAATTAAACATAGCCTTGTATTAACTTTGACTTAAGAAAAAAACTTATTTTTGCCTAGGGAAATTAATAATAACAAATATATAGATTTGCCTAGATTGTCATAGTACACATTAATAATTAAATAATTACACATCAAGTGTTAATTCTTCAGTCTGAGACTAGCTAGATAAGGACTTGTGATCCATTTTGGGTGAAGGAAAGGAAATGTGACATGAAGTAATAACTGAGTTTCTGATTAACAGGGAAAAACCAATGTGCTGAATAATGTATCCAATGGTTTACACCATTATACTCTGCACCCAGAAGCTTTCTTTTCCTTGCCCTTCCTCCTCTGGACTCCCCCAGTGAAGGGTAACAATTATGCTTTTTTAAAACAGTGAAAGGTAATCCACATTATGAATTACTAAATTTTTAAGTGATTGACATATGAGCAAATTTCTTTAATGTTGGAAATTACTAAACTTACTAGAAATAGTTCATTGCAGATAAAAATCAAGACACTCCACTATCCATGAAGGCCACACAGCATACAGGGACATATCACTAGCAATGCAATTGTAATTGATAAAGCTACTTATATTTACTGAGAGTTTGCCACACGACAGACATCTTTCTGAGCATTTTATGTGTGTTATTTTTTTAATTCCCTCAAAAAATGATTAGGTATATTCTATTTATTCCATGAAAATACATTTAGGTATTTAAAGAACTTTTCTACTGGTTTAGTGCTAGTCAGTGGTAGAACCCGGATTTGAACCCAAGCTGTCTGATTCCAGGGCCCATGCATGGTCTGTAATCTTACTTTCACTGGCTATTGCTTTATGAGGTTTTGCTAAGGATTATTTTTAATTAGTAGGATCTGTTTAAAGCTCTTATAGACCTAATTTAAACTTAACTTTACATTTTTTTCTAAATTATGTTGTTCTAAAACCAATAGGTAATGTTACAATATAAGAATCTTAAAGGAATTGACCTGATTATAAGACAGAACAGGAAAAAAAAAAAGACAGAACAGGAATGAATAAAATAATCCAGATTTTAGCACTTGCCTTCGCTGGCTTTAATTGTTGAAACAGATTGCCTGAGAAGTAGGAAGTAGCTCTGCATTTTGCAACCATCTGTCCCCTGGCTTGAAGACTCTTGGGTATATACCTAAGAAAAGACTAGCAACCCTAACTCTTTGTTATTTATAGTGACTGCTACTGCAGCAATTATTAAATACTGTCAAGTTGGTTCCTACTCAGAGCAACCCCAAGTACAATATAATTAAACAATGCACCTTGCTCACAATCATGGCTTTCCTTGATGCCACTATTTCAGCCACTGTGTCAATACATCTCAGTGAGGATCTTTTTCTTTCACTGATCCTCTACTTTATCAAGCAGGGGGTTTACTAACGTAGGGAATCAGCCCCTCCTGATGACATATCTAAAGTACAAACCAACTCTTGATATACTCACTTTTAAGGAATATTCAGTTGTACTTCTTCCAAGATAGATTTGTACTTTCTGATAATTCATGATATATTCAATATTCTTTGCCGACACTAATTCAAAGGCTCAGTTATTCTTCAGCCTTCTTTGTTCATTGTCCAGTTCTTGAATACATAGGAGACAAAGGAAACAATGCCTCAGATCAGGTGCACTGTAGCCTCAAAGTGACGTTCTTGTTCTTCGGTGCTTTAAGGAAGTCTTCTGCAGCACATTTACCTAATGTAATACATTGTTTGCTTTGTCGACTGTTATTTCCCTGGGTGTTGATTGTAGATCTAAGTAAAATGAAATCCTTTCTAATTTTAGCCCTTTTCTCTTTTTATTCATTGTATTGCTTATTGGCCTAATAAACAAGATCAGGCTTTTTATGAGGATTTTTGATCTATGTCGAGGTGTAATCCATGTGGAAGGCTGTGGTCTTTGATCTTCATCAGAGTGCGTGCTTCACGTGGGCAGGACTTTCTGAGAACAGGTTTAGATCACCTGCATACTCCTATTCTGATGCCACATTCTTTTCATAGAGTCAAGCTTCTCAGGTTATTTGCTCAGCATACAGCGTGTGTAAGTGTGGTGGAAGGCTATAATCCTGAAGCACACCTTTCCTGATTTAGACCACACAGCATCCTCTCGTTCTATATGAACAGCTGCCACTTGGTCTCTGTACAGGTTCTGCACGGACACAGTGAAATGTTCTGAATTCCTATTCTTCACAGTGTTATCTGGGATTTGCTATGCTCCACAATCGAATTCCTTTGCCTAGTCAATAACAAAAGTAAGTATCCTTCTGGTATTCTCTGCTGTCAGCCAAGATCCATGTGTCAGCTGTGATATCCCCTGTGCTTTCTGAATCAGTTTGAGTTTTTGGCACTTCCCTGTCTATGCACTATTACAATGATTTTTTAATTATCTTCAGCAAAATTTTGCTTCTGTTGTATTAATGATACTGTTAGATCATTTCTGCATTCTGTTGGCTCACCTTTTGTTGGGACTAGGCAGAAATCTGGATGTCTTCCAGTAGGCTGGGGAGGCCTTCAAATTTCTTTTCATGGACTAGTAAGTGCTTCTAGCACTGTGTTGGTTTGTTGAAGCATTTTGATTGGTATCTTATCACTTCTTGAAGCCTTCCAAATGCTTTCAGTTTACCTTGGCCTTCTTCATGACCAGTATTTCTTGATTATGTGCTTTCTCCTGAAATGGTTGAATGTTGACAAATTACTTTGGGTACAGTAACTCTATGTATTCTACCTCATTTTGATGTTTTCTGTGTCATTCAATATTTTGCCTGTAAAATCCATCAGTATTACAGCTCAAGGCTTGAACTTTTTCTTCATTTCTTTCATCTTGAGAAATGTTGAGTGGGTCAACTTCTGGATTTCTGCTCCTGCCTTTGTGTCATAGTGGATAATATGCAGTGTCAACAGTTTGAAACCACCACCTGCTCTTTAGGAGAAAGATGAGGCTTTCTACTCCAAGAAAGAGTTACTGTCTCGGAAACCCACGAGGACAGTTCTGCCCTGCCCGTTATAGCCGTTGTGAGTCAGAATTGACCAGTGGATGGCAAGGAGTGTTTTGGTTGGTCTTTGCTCATTTCATTGGAATGCTTTGTCTTCTAGCACTGCCCTTTGAAACCTTTTGAGCTCTTTTACTTCATCATTTATTCCTTTCACTTTAGCTGTTTCACACTTCCAAGCAAATTTCAGTATCTTTTTTCTGATGTCTGTTTTGATCCTTTTCTTTCTTTTTTCCCCTTTAATTACCTTTTTCTTTATTCATGCATGCATGTATGCTTGATGTCATTCCAGAACTAATCGGGTCTTTCTTCATTAGTGTTCACTGTGTCAAACCTATTTCTGAAATGATGTCTAACTTCATGTGGGTTGTTCTCAGGATTGTACTTTGGCTCTCATGAGCTTGTTTTTATTTTCTTTAGTTTCAACTTGATCTTGTATATGAGCAATTGATGGTTTGTTCCCAGTTGATCCCTGGGTTAATTCTGATTATATTGAGCTTCTCCATTTTCTCTGCACAAATGTAGTTTATTTGATTCTTGTTTTTAGTTTATTTGATTCTTATGTATTCCATCTGGTAAGGCCCACATTTATATTCACTGTTTATTTCCAGTAAACAGTTCATTGGTCTTTCAAAATTTTAGCAAGACCATATTTTCCAACTACCGAACCGTTTTTGTTTCCAACTTTTGAATTGCAATCACCCAGTAATTATCAATGCATCCTGATTACATGTTAGACTTATTTCAAGTTGCAGAAATTTC